GGTGTCTTCAGGGTTTTTCAGCTCCTGAACAGCTTCCCTCTGAAACACAGAGAAGAGGTGTGTGTGTGGGGTCTTCAACAAAGTGCAGATGGCTTAGTTAGCAGTCATGCCTCCCATGTGGAGCTCCAGTTTGTCACAAAGGACAGCCTTGCTCCAGAGCATATGACCTCTGAGCAGGAAGAAACTCCACACAAGCATTCTGGGACTTGACATTTGACCTTGGGACGGCAATACTCCAATCCTGAAGTTGGAAAGTCCTGAGAATGTTCTATTCTGTTCCATTAAGCTTCCAGACATCTAGGAAGTAGGCTGAAGACAGCACATCTAGGGGTCTGAGTGGCCTTGGTCTATAGGTCAGGACTGTAAGGCTGACCACCATAGGTGGGGCAGGGGAGGAAAGCTGTCTGAGCAATGAACAGGCTCATCTTCAACTGGAAGTCCCAGGGCTTTCTCCTCCCCAGCTGCAGAGCCCACCTCTCTTAGGCTTGGGGAAGAGGCAGGAGTCCCAGTCAGCTGTGTAGCCTTGGGAAAATGACTTCATGTCTGGATTCTTAGCTTCCTCATTGAAATAACTGCAGATAAACCAGATGCCCTGCAGGTAGGTCTGTCTATGAAGCAGACTTACATAGGGACCTCATCTAACCAGACACAGCTCTCGGACCATGGCGTCACATTGTATTGGCAGATTAGCCGTACTTGAGGTCCTGTTAGATGACATCTTTGTGCTAACCACACTCACTCTTTCTTTATAATATTCCCATTTTAGAGATAAGAAAACTGAGCCAGAACTTACCCCCAGGCTGTGCAGTCACGTAGAACAGCTTGGATTCAACCCTGAAGAATGCCATAGTCTCCTCCTCTGGCCACCAAGCTATACTGCCTCCATCCAATGGGTTTGGGCTCCTGACTTGGCTACCAGTCCCTTAAGAAGTTCAAAGACAGAGAGTTTAACACAGAGCGTCACTTTTGCACTGGAGGAAGGCTGTGAAGACTGAAGAGGGAGTGGCTGAACTGTGAGAGACTCAGAGCAGCTGAGATACAGAGTGAAGGAACATGGATGACTCTCCCTCCTCTATCCACTGGACCTAGCAGGTCACCAGCAGGCAGGAAGTCGATGGGCCAGAGCAAGGTGTGGGCCTCTACCACCTGCTAGGAGGGTCAGTCCAAGAGGCCCACACGCTTCTTTGAGCCTCTCCAAAGTGGCTCCTGGGAAACAGGTAGGAACTTGCCAGCAGAATAAAGAACATCCTCCTACCCCCATCATCCCATAGGAAGTTGCCCAGACAGGCAATATCAGAAATGTCTGCCTATGACAAAACCAGGCCCATAGAGAAGATGCAAAATCTGCCCCCTTGGAGGAGTCTGCCATCTTGGTAGATCTGTGATACTTTTCCCATGTGGAAGTGTCTTGTGTCCCCCTTCCCCAAGCCAAACCTACCACCATGGAAGCCAGAGACTTTGGGGTAAGGGACAAGGTACTGGCATTCAGAAAACATAGCTAGAGTCACCTGCAGGTCGGCAGTGGCCCTGACAAGATATATTTGTGGCCAGCTTTGGGCTCTCTACTGATTCCCTCATCCTATGCCTAGTGCCCTGGCCCTCTGGGATGGGGGTACCTGGGGGTTCCCCATGCCTTCTTCCCTGGTTAACTGTTTCTGGGTAATTCTTCCTGTCTGTCCTCAAGATCCCGGATGGTACACCTTTCAAGTAGGAAAATAGGCCATTTCTCCTTTAGGAAGATTGTTAGCTTTTCTGAAAACACTTTACTGTGAAAAGTTTTCAAACTTTAGACATACACAGCTTTGAAAAGAACTTTGTAAGGGTGTCCAGGCCCCCATACAGAGGGCTTTGCAAGGACAGCCGCAGTGGCCTTCTCACACATCTGCCCAGACTTCCATCACCCCCTTAGTCCATCTAATTTTTGAAATAAACTTTTTGTCAGCTAAAGTTAGGCTTAGATTAAAAATTCCAAAGACACGTGTTACCAAGCCTGCTGACCTGAGTTTGTGCCTGCTAAGTAAAAACAAAAATTTGTTTTAAATTTCCCTATCAGGTCCCGTCTTCTGAGTGATTTTCCTTCTAACCTTCTAAGCAACCAAGAGCCACAGCAAGAGCACTTATTATTACCAAGTACACTTCCAGGCTTCTGGGATCTCCAGTCCATAAGTCATTGTTTTGAATAAGGGATAAGATCACAAGAGGAGCTGGTGGGAGTTAGGGTGTGTCTGGTTAACTGCCCTTTTGGGTGTTGATACTAACCCAGGTCTGTCTCATAGGGAAAAAGAATTTACTCTGTAGCCAAATATGAGTGGCTACCCCCAACCCCCAGGAACACAGACTCAGGTTACAACCAAGGGGGTGGGGCTCTGCTGTAGGCCTCAGATGCTGAGGACATTCTTAGCCTTTGGGTTGGTGGAAGTTAGGGGTCTGAACATTCCGAAAAGAATTACTTAACAGTCACAAGAATGTTGCAACAATCACAGATGTGATCAATAAATGGCTGTTTCCCTGAGTGGTGGGGGCACATGCCTTTAATCCCAGCACTTGGGAGGCAGAGGCAGGCAGATCTCTGAGTTCAAGAGTTCAAGGCTAGCTTGGTCTACAAAGCGAGTGTTTTGGGTTTTGTTTGTTTGTTTGTTTGTTTTTGTTGTTGTTGTTGGTTTTGTTTTTGGTTTTGGTTTTGGTTTTTCAAGACAGAGTTTCTGTGTGTGGCTTTGGAGCCTATCCTGGCACTCACGCTGGAGACCAGGCTGGCCTCGAATTCACAGAGATCCTCCTGCCTCTGCCTCCCAAGTGCTGGGATTAAAGGCGTGTGCCCGGTTCAAACAAGTCAATTTCGAGGGTTACTATTGCCTAAGATAATTTGTCTCTAGCCCTGCAGCGTTCCAGCTCTCCACAGTCACTGAGGTTTCTTCCATCACTGCGGCTTGTAGAATGTTTAACACAGGTGTGGCTTTCTTCCAGGAACTTCTGTTCACACTGGTTTCTTATGCTGAGGGGTGGTGGTTCAGAACCAAACATAGGAATCAGGGTGGTAGTGAGCAATAAACAGATTTGTGCTGAGCATATTGAACAGTACCTGGTGTGTAGGAAAGACCTGTGAGTGTTCCCGGGAGACCCGGGACAAGTGTGCTGATGCTACGACTGGCAGCCTCCTCCTTTGTTTTTTTCTCTTTGGGTGGCTTATTCTCCTAGATTCCTAAAAGCCTGGTGGTCTAAAAGACAACCCATTCCTGAAATATTTGTTTGAGTGGCTTAATTAATACATGCACATCTCTTCTTGGTTTACCCAACATCAAATCTGGTGTAGTTTTGTTTGTTTGTTTGTTTTTTGTTTTTTTGTGGTTTGTTCACTTATTCGAAAGAGAGAAGGGAAGCTGAGGCCAGAATGTTGGAGATTCCAGACCACAGTGCAAAAGCCGCCTGCACCACGGTGCAGGAAGCCACTTGCTTCCAAAGGTATTTAACACTCGCTGTATTAAAAGCCCACCTATGCCCAAACCACACGCAGGGCCCACAACACTTTCTGCCTGGCTCCCCCATGGCTGGACTGTCCCTTTGGTGATTCAAGGACCTGCCACCCCTGCCCCTGCCACCCAACTCTATAGAGGAGCTGCCTCTGCAATCCTGCCCCTGGCATTCCTGCCTAGGATCTATCTCTCCACCCAACTGGTGGCGCCAGCAACCTTGATTAGAACCAGGAACTAAGGGGGATTATCTTTGGCACATTCCTGGCCTGTAGATCTAGAAGACTGCTCTAGACTCCAGCCCCAAATCCAAAGTTCCCTAAATATTCCCCTAGGAGCCAGGCTGTTGGGTGTGCCCCAGCGCAGCAAACTCCTCAAGAGTGGGCAGGAGAATCTGGGGGTGGGAGGGGCTGATGCTCTAGGTTTACACACCCTGTGTCCAACCTGTAACAACCCAGACTCGGTGGGCTCCACTCCTGGCTGGTGTCTTTTGCTCTTTAGCTGCTACAGTCCGAGCACAGGACTCTGCTCCAGTGTGCCGGGCCCGCCTCCGGAGCCTTGTGACATCACAGCTCTTGTGAGAATGGTTGCCTTGGCGTAAACTGTAAACTCAGTTCAGGGCCAGAAGACTGGAGAACTGTGGACTGAGGCTTCGGAGCGAGCGGGGTGCGCGCGGCTGGTGGGTGCAGGAGGTGCCGGGCCAAGGGCTCCAGGAGGGGTGGCCATGGGGCGCGGGCCCGAGATCCAGCACCCCTCTTTGCTCCTTTCCATTTCCTTTATGACAGGCCTAATTTAAGCACCCATCTGTCCTCTTGTTGCTGCATTCTTGCCCCAGGGCATGGCGTGGCAGGAGGAGGTCAGGATGTTAGGAAGTTGGATTCCCGAGTGATGTTTCCTTTTCTAAAGGGGCTGAGGCAGGGATGGCTCAAATTGCAAGCAACCCTGGGCTCCACCCCCAGCCCTTCCCGGCGGTCGATGGTTTGGAACACTGGCTGGGCCTCTGCAAACAGGAAAACTGTTTTCTATTTGAAGGATACCCAGGACACCGTCAGGAACTCTGATAGGTGCAGCTTGCAAACTGGGAGAAATGGGCAGTAAAAGCCTTTTAAGTGGTAACCACTTGACCCTATAAAGAAGAACTGCACTGGTGCAGGAAGGTCTCCCAGGGTGACATTTGAGCTCGGATTTAAAGGGAGAAGCCTCTACCCCCCCTTCCAACCTCAGCTAGGTGAGAGGTAGCAGAGAGGCTCCAGGCTGACTAAAGTTGGTATGTTCTAAGAACAGGAAAATCCTGGCAGCTGAGCTTTACCCAGGAGGGGAACAGTGGATCCCACCAAACCTGGATACAGGGTTATGTTAGGATAGGCAGTGTTAGGCTACTACGTAGTGGAAATGTAAGCTGCTGTCAGCCACTGAGGGTCAAGAAGGGCTGTGGGTTTGGGAGACCACCCACTCAAGTACTGTGTCACTCCCCAGGCGAGAATCTCCTTCAGCTAAGGCCAAGCTTTGCACACTGGTTGGTCCTCAGCCATGATGTCCAAGACCCAGTCCACCATGAAAGTGGCCCGTGACAGTAAGTACTGAGCTGGGTGGGGGCTCCCAGTGGTCAAAAGGACCCCTGGAGCCTGGGACAGTTAGATGTGAGCTCACTCAAGGGTTTAAGTAGTCCTAAATTCACTCCATGTATGAGTTTCTTATGGCCTGCTGTGTTGCAGATCACCAGGGACTGCACGCTGTAAACAGTAGAAACTTGTCAAACAGCTTTCTCAGCCATGAGTGACAGGAAGGTGTACAGGGCTGATGTTTGGGGAGAGTCTGACCCTTGGCTTTAAGGGTACCTATCACCCATTCTGCCTTGACACTTCCACAGTGTTCCTCCAGTGTCCCTGGAACTTGGGTTTATGTTAGGTGTTCTCAACTTCAGCAAACATATCTGCAAGGACCTTACTTACAAACAAGGCCACATTCTGAAGTGCTGTGGAGATAGGGACTTCAGGGCATGGATTTGAAAGAACACATTGCAGATGCTTGCAGGTCAGGAGAGATGCCACCATGGAAGCAAACCTCCCTACTTTTTTCTGCTGTGATTGCTAGGCTGAGCCTGGAGGAGGCGGGCTGGCTGGTCCCAGTATGGGTGAAATGTCCTTTCTCAGGCCAAATGACATGTGTGATGTCGGGTGCTCATATTGGTGGCATCTGGAGAGGCTGTGAGGTGGGCAATGCCGCCATCCCTGCATTCTCTGCTCTCTTCAGCTTTTAAATCCCAAATTAATGTGCCTTTGGGGCAAGTCCTCCATGGTTCAAATTTGGAAAGTGTATTTTCACTCCCCCACACACCTATTTGAAGGCCTACCCCCAACATCTCCCCAGGTACTGTGGTGATGGGAAGAGACAACTCCAAGCCAGCTCTGTGCACATCTAAGCAGAAACTTGTGCCTACAGTGTGTCCTTTCAAACACACAATAAAAAACGCCTTTCCACACCCTGCTTTTCCCATGAGCCCACACACTGAGCATCCCCAGGAGTGGTGGTGTATACCTGTAATCACAGCACTGGGGCAAATCAGGCAAGAGGATTGTGAGTTGGAGTCCAGCCTGGGCTACATAGTGAGACCCTATTGCAAAAAGCTATCTTTAAAAAATTGGAGACATTTCATACTTTTGAGCAGATTCAAAATCCCACAGTGTGAGCGGAATGTGCTTTCTCACCAGCTGCTGACAATGGACACTTTGTGTATTGCCAAAAAATGAATTATTATACATACTTGCTCCCACAAGGATACTTAGACTTCCCCCCATATTCACTATCTCTCTCCTCCTCTCTCTTGTCTGAGTGTACTTAAAACTAGAGGCTAAAATAGATGGTGACACCTCTCAACACAGAACAGTGCAGGAAAACTGCTACCACAAGAAGAAGGGAGGGTGTAACCAACCCTCTGTAGGGGGACCCAGGGTGGTAGTGTTTAGTTCAGGGAAGGTGGTAGTTTGAGAAACTTTGAGGGGTGGTGAGTATTCGGGAAAACCAGGCCAGCCAAACAGACTTGGGATTGGCTTGCCTAAACCAGCTGTGAGGTCAGAGGGATCCCAGAGCTGGCCACAGCTTCCTGCAGAGACTGGGACTGAAGGACCAGCCTACTGGCTCACAGGACCTCAGCAGCCAGCCTCAGCATGGGTCTCATTCAGGGATACATGGCTGAGGATATGTGACCCTCATGATTGAGTGCTCTTTTACCAAATGGCCAAATTTATTTTCCTGGAAGCCAAGTTGTGGTGCAGGCCCATATCTCTTGTAAAGAGCCTCACTCATGGTCACCAGGTTGGTATCAGATGGGCAGGCCTTCCCTGTTGGGCAGGGCTGGGGACAACAACTTCGTGAGGCAGTTCAGAGCAACCTGGCTTTCAGAGAGTTCACTGCATCGTGGGAGCTGCAACCTGGCTGTCTCAGTTTGAAGGTTTACTGCTGTGATAAGTGCCATGACCAAAAGTAGGGGAGGAAAGAGTTTGTTCCTTCCTCTTACACTTTACGGTCCATCACTGAGGTAAGTCAGGGCAGGAACCCGGAGACAGGAAAGGATACGGAGGCATGGAGACATACAGGCTTTCCCTTAAGGCTTGCTCAACCTGCTTTCTTACAGCTCCCAGGACCACCTTTCCAGAGTGATATCATCCACAATGATCTGGGCCCTTCAACATCAATAACTAATTAGGACAATGCCAGATCTCATGGAAGCAATTTCTCAATTGAGGTTCCCTCTTCTCAAGAGGACTCTAGCATCAAGTTGACATAAAACTAGCCAGCTCACTAGCCATCTAAACTCAGTCCTGTAGTTAACCTACACACATCACCAGGCCTTTGGGATACTCTTACCCTAGTTTCCACTTGTGGCACTTCCTTCCTTTGAGACCTTTAGGAATATGGTCATCTATTCACTTTTTGAGTGATTCCTCATTCAAATTAATGATGCCATTTTAAAACTCTGGACTCTAGTCAGATGTGTACAGCTTTCCAGGACATAGTTTGATGAAGAGGGTGGCTGGGCACTCAACCAGAACTTGGTAGGCAGAGGCAGGAGGGTCTTTGTGTGAGTTTCAGGACACTCTGGTCTATAAAGCCAGTTCCAGAACAGCCAAAGCTATAGAAAGAAACCCTGTGTTAAACCCTCCCCATACAGAATAAGATTATTACCACTGTTTAGCCAAATTTGAAGCAACTTTAATTAAATACTGGCCAGGTAGATGGGCTCTGGCCAGGTCCATACCCAGGTTCCCAGGAAATGGCCCAGAATCAAGTATGACAAGGACTTCAGAAGGAAAACCCATAATTCATTGCATTTTCCATCAGGTCCAATCAGATGCAAGCAAAAAACCTGACATATTTCCTGCCTATGTACTTTCTGTCCACATAGGATCAAGCACATCTGGTGCAGATGAGTTAAAAAAAACAAAACAAAAAAACAAGTTGTTTTGGGGAATGAAAAACAAGTGGCTTATTATCTCCCATAATAGCCTCCAGAATTTCAGGAACTATCTGTTCTTGGGTAAGGGGCTTGCAGATCAGAGGCATTTTTGTTTCATAGATCTCTAAGGCATAGTATTTAAAAAGTAACTTTGGCTCTCATATTCCTCCCTTGAGTTGTATCCTGAGTCAAATCCTTGACTCTGTGATGGGTACCTGTTTATATTGGGATCTAATAACCATCAGCTTAATGGTACCCAGACAGGAATTATCATTTAGTTAAAGCATCAACAATGCAAGAGCCAACAGCAATTAGCAGAAGCAGAATGGCTAAAGGCTCTGTGATGGCTGACAGAGCCAATATCTAAAGGAACCTGGGAATGAGAATGGGGACCAGTTCATCTCAAGTCTCCATTTTTTGCAATTTCTCCAAATATAGCCAGATTATTTCTAACAATTCCTGAATGGTTTATATAGAAATAACTATTTTCTCTTAAAGCTATACCATAAACTCTGTTTTATATAGAGCAGGTTGAATGCCCTATCACACTATTGAACTATTTCAGCTAATGAATCTTCCTGTTGATAGATCTGGCTCTACTTGGTTTTAACAGGTGCCTTTTCTGGTATGCCAATAAGCAATATTTTGCCCCCTATACCAGGGAGTTTCCTTTCTATCTAACATTCCAGCCTGTTGGGGGAGAAGGGGCAATGTACTCTCTTTTGTAAATACTTCATGCTGAAACTAGGATGATGTTGTCAGGGCCCAGAAAAGCTGAAATGTTCCTACAACATAAAAATAAAGTATCCTGTTTTTTTTACTTCAAGAAGGAGGCAACAGGGCATAACCACAATCTACATAAGGCAAAACCAAGCTCCAATAGTACAAACAATTCAGAGCTCAACATCTGGAATTCATTCTAATCCTTTCGGTTTTCTTGAGAGCCTTGGATCACCTCTTTGGTCCAACCCTGGACAGCATATACATACTCAGCCCTCTAGATCTCAGCCTGCTCCATTTCATTGTGGCTGTTGCTTCTGGTGGCTGTCACATGGCACCAGCATTTCCAAAACTGCTAAGGTCACCCATTGCAACTTGGATCTCTTTAGGAACTCTAGCCCTGTGACACACTGGCAAAACCCAGCTGTTGCTCATGATCAGTGACCAGAGAGCTCAGAGATACATTCTGAGCCCCAGCCATAAATGCAGCCATGGCAGAGGTGGTGACTGGCTGCTGTCAGCAGCAGAGACAGCAAAAATATCTGACTCATTTCTAGCTCAGCTCCATGCCTGCAACAAAAGTTATGGACACACCAGGAAATACAGACGAAACTTTCTGACAAAACAGGGAGACACAACTCTCTCAAGAAACAGAGACAAAACTTTCCAACAAAACAAGCATATACAACTTCCTTGAGAAATAGACAAAATTTTCCAACAAGATAAAACTTTCCCCAGGGAATAAAACTTTTCAACCAGAACAAGGTGGGTGGGTGGCATCTTGCTATATGCCCTGGATGGGAGAATATTGGGGTCCTATTAAACCCACTCCACATCCCAGAATGGGATCCTACAAAACAGAACCAAATTATGACTCACCAGGAGGCCTCCATAGATGCTTGTTGCTTTTCTTAGCATGGCAGCTCACTCTAATAGTCCAAGAACTGAAGGCAGCCTCAGAGCCTTGGGACATCTCAAGACCCTTCAGTTTCGGAGTTCTGGATTGAAGGTCCAGCTTTAGAATTTGGGTGGGTGATCTGAATCTCGTTGGGGCCTCCAGAAAATGTTAATCTTACTGATTGGGAATAAGACCACTACCACAGTTTAAAGTCAAATTTGAAGCAAGCTTTAATTAAATATCCAGGTTCCCAAGAAATGGCCCAGAATCAAGGGCTTAAGAAGGAAAACCCATAATTCATTTCATGTCCCATCAGGTCCAATCAGAGGCAAGCATATATCCTGACATATTTCCTGCCTCCGTAACTCCCACTCACACGTGATCAAGCACATCTGGTGCAGATGGGTCAAACAAACTTGTTTAGGAGAGTGAAAACATGTGGCTTGTTACCTACCATAAACAATAGCTTCCAGGATTTCAGGAACTATCTGTTCTTGGG